CTTGCAAGCTTGCATCCTTTCTAGGAGCCGAGCTCAAGCAGGCCATTTTGGGCTCAAGTTGAGCCCAAGCTTGAGTTTGAGCTCGCAACTTGGCTGATGAGGAGAGCTTGAGATAAGAATCAATTACACTTAGATGAGTGATGAAGATTACAATTCGTGAGCCAAGTGAGTCAGAAGAGAAGAGCATAAACTCACCAATGACTTTCTTAGGCCGATCATTGAGGCAAGGCTGCCTCAGAAGTTCAAAGTGTCTCATTTAAAGTATTACACATGCAAGATTGATCCTACTGATCATATGAAAACTTTTGAGGTTTTGACTTCTCTATTCGACATTAATGACACCCTTAAGTGTCAACTTTTTTTCATCGCACTTAGATGCTGGCCCTTTGGTGGTTCATTTTCCTATCGTTAGGACTAATCATTTCATTTTCTAAATTGAAGTAGATGTTTATGACCTAATTTACTAGCCCTTAGAAGCTAAAGAATACCTCACAAGCTCTATTGAGGATAACAGAGGAGCTTTGGGAGTCAATAACTTGTTTCATAGTGAGGTTCCACGAAAAGATGTTGGAATTGAAAGATCTCGAGCCTATCATCGCTAAAGTCGCTTTTACCAAAAGTTTAAGAGAGGTTCCATTAAGATATCCACTCAGTTTACAAATGTGAAAGATTATTAATAAGACCAGGGGCTGATCCGACTTCTTTTTTTAGGGTGGGCAAAAAAAAAATTTTGTAAGGGATGGGCAAATACGCTTAGGATTGATAAAATTAGGGCAAAAAATTTTTTTGAGAGGGGGCAAAATACCAAAAATATTTCAAAATATACCCTCTAAAATAAAATAATTTTTTTTGAGGGTGGGCATTTGCCCTCAATGCCATGGAGATCCGCCCATGAATAAGATATTAATTGGAGATGTCCAACAATCATATAAATGGTGAGGAATACAATAGAATGGTTGATTCCTCATCGGCCACTCACCCATGCATTATCATTGCAAGAGAGATATCATTGGGGATGAGCAACCAGAAGATTTCATCTTAACAATAAGAGGGATTGAAGAATTTGAACGTTGCATGATTATTATCATCCTGAGCAATAGAGGGCATCCTTATAGTCTAGGCCCTTTAGAATTGCTAGACCGTTAGTGTAATAGCTTGTATTTTGACCAAGTCAAATAATTTTTTTTTAAGAATAATTAGAAGTTTAAATCATTAATCGTCTCCTCTATAACATAGATATTGTATTTTTTTAATCACATTATTTTTTATAATTTTGGGCACTAATGCATATCCTTAAAAAATTGACACCTATTAGTACAAGTGGAGAATTTGGGACTATTAGGTGTCCATTTTGCAAACTGATTTCACCAGAATTTTTTAAATAAAATAAGTCATTTTATGAATAGTTTTCTATAATTTTTGAAGGCTAAAAAAATTAATATGAATTTTATACTAAAAATTAATTAAGTTAAATAATTATATTAATATTATATTCTTATAAAATATTTGAAGTCACTAAAGTTATTAAAGCTTTTTTATTCTCTTCCTAAAATTGGCTAACAGAGAATCATAAGGAGAAATAAGAGAGAGAAAATAGAACTTTAGATTTGGAGGTCGTAGATCAATTTTCATCCATTGACCATGTTAGTAGATTTGTTCATTTCACTAAACTTGTGGATAGATTTATTGGTCGGATACATGTTGGTAGATCTGCTTATTTTAAGAGAAGGACCTATAAGATGGGGGTTAGACATGCATTGTTTTATGATGCAAAATGTTGGCCATTAAATGAGAAGCTTAATATTAAGTGTTGTAGAGATGATGCTCAGATGGATGAGTGAATTTTTACTCTTAGAGATAGGATACGAAATGAGCATATACGTGAAAAAGTTAGAGTAACTTTAGTGGAAAATAAGAATAGAGAGAGTCTTCTTAGATGGTTTGGTCACATAAAATTGCATCATTTTGATGACCCGATTAGGAAATTAGATGTATTAGATTTGACTTATGTTAAAAAAGATCGAGGTATACCTTAAAAGACTTAGATAAAAAATATTAGAACTGAACTTTCTTTATTAGATTTTAATGAGCATTTAACTCTTAACAGAACACAACCGAAAAAAAAGGATTCATTTAGTCGACCTGACATAGTGGCATAAATGTTTCTTGTTGTTGTTATATAAAAATATTATTAGTGGCCTAGTGTTACAAATCTGGGCTCAAGTATCATGATTTTGATGATAACAAATATTATTATTTTTGTACTATGTTGTCTCTTGATAATTGAGTTTATTTGCATATCTATTTTCTGTTTGTGCTAATATTTTATGTCCACAAATTACTGGCAATGTCAATCAGCTCAAGACTGGGCAAATTAGGGTTGAGTCAGTATGTAATCACAATTTCAAAGTTATTTTACCTTTCTTGAGTAAAAAATGTACTGTGGTGGATCCAAAATCTAACGTTGCACACACACACATGGGGAGAGAGATATATTTTTAAAGTTAAAACTATTATATCTAATTATATTATATGATTTTTAATTGTACTATATGATATGTTATCTAGAATAGGCTTAATAGCTAATTGGCTAAATTAGTTTTTGTGAACTAATCATACTGTACGATCTGTATTGTATTGTACGATTCATTCGATCTGAAAACCCTAGCCACCAAATTTATTTAAGTAAGATTTTTGAACTAATCGTACTGTACAAGTCAATCGTATTGTACGAACATTTAAAATCTTACTAAAATTAACCCATGTAATTAGTCAATTAAATCATAGTTTAGTTAATGTAGATGATCGTATGGTGCGATATCGATCATACCAAATAATTAACAGAGACAAAATATGGTGATTCCAAAGTTCGTACTAAACGAAGCCATAATTTTTAAACTAATCATACGGTATGATATGTAGATCGGATTGGACGATCTACTTCAAATGAATTAACCATATTGTATGAAGTGAGCAATATATGACGATTATCATAGATGAATTTCCATCGTCCCAAGAATCGTCCTATACGAATAGAGAAAATTGAACAGATCGTACTAGATAATCTATCGATCATAATGTACAATATGTTCAATAAATTTGAACATTTCATTTTGAATGACTGTTCATATTGTACTGGATGGGACTAGTTTTGGACTGATCGTACTGTACGAACAGTGACAACTAACTTGAATTTTTAGGATTTCTTGAAGCCTATTACAAAAGCAATTGTATTTGTTTTTGGTAAATATCTTTGATGTTGAATTGTCTTGAGAGAGAGAGCTTAAAGAGAGAAGAGAATGAGAGCTTTGGGAGAGAAGAGAGAGAGAGAGAGAGAGAGAGAGAGAGAGAGAGAGAGAGAGATCCTTATGGGGGAGAGTTATGAGGGATTCGCAAAGGTTGCTCCGAATAAGGTTTCCACAATCTTCTTCAAGCTTCTTCTTTAGTTCCTTGGTGGCTCTGGGTAGACTTTTATTAGCATCAGATCCAGGTACTCTGTCATCACTAGGAGGGTGAAAAAGAATTTCAGGGTTCTCTGCCTACTCCAGGAGGGAGTAAAAGGATTCCAAGGTACTCTTCCTACTCTATGAGAGAGTAAAAACATTTTCAGGTTCTCTGCCTACTTTAGGAGGGAGTAAAAGGATTCAAGACATTTTGCCACCCTGGGTTTTTGAAAATATTTTGTAAGGGCTTCTCCACCTTATTGTGGGGGCAAAAGAAGGGCACTACTTTTAATGCAATACCTGAAAAGGAGATTTTTGAAAAGTGGATGTAGGTCAAGTTGACCAAACCACTATAATTCAGTTGTATTCTTTTTTTTTTGCATTTGATTTTCGTATTTTTCTGTGATTTGTTGTGTTTGAAATCTCTTATTTTTGGTATTGTGAAATTAGTTCACATTATGGGATAAAATTATTTGTTTTAAAACATTCAAAAAGATTTTCTAGCTGCCTTAAGAAATTTTTTAAAATAACCAATTCACCCCCTTTTGATTAGCATCAAAATAGTTCACAAAGGCTTAACAATCCTCACAAACTTTAACTTAGCACCACAGCGCTCACCAGATCAGCATCACAATGCTCTATTTCAAAGTTTTCATATTTTTCAAATAAATTTATTTTAGATTTCTCTTTTATTACACGTAATAAGTATATAAATTCATATAAACTAAACAAATAAGATCCCTTATTTATAGATTGGGGTGGGGGATTGAACGCTACATAAGTAGCTATATACACACCTCCACAAAAAAATAAGAGAAAAATATATTAGTTATATGACCCAATCGAAGGGTTTGACTTGATGAAGTCATCTACCAACGTCTTAAGGCCTGGTTGCCTTACTTTAAGAAGTCGTCCTTCTTTTAATAGTCATCATTGGATGACTTCATAGATAGTAATCACCAAGGCCGACTAATAAGTTGTACTCACTCGTTTGTGATGATTTGATGGATCATGATTATCTGCTTGTGCTGAATTCTCATGCAAATTAGCAAGTCTCTTTTAAACTGAGACCGAGCATATCAAATTAATTTAGCTTGATTTAACTTGATTGAGCTTGAACCAACTGACATGTCAAATTGAGTTTTCTTAATATTTGGATATAGAACTTAAACGTTAATAATTCACAAAAAATATGTTAAGAGCTCACAATATAAAGCTGATTAAGTATTTTTTTTATGTTTATATTAAACACAGCTCACACAAAACTATAATATTTTATTTTTATAATACATAATATTAAAATTCCATGTGCCATCTCAATTTCAATTTCTTGCACAATTTTCTTGTCATCTCCCTTCTTAGCTCCCTTAGCTCCACGAATTCCCTTATTTTGATTATTTTAAAATATTTCAACCAGACGTCATACTGTTCACGTTCCCTTTCTTAACGGATAAATTTATACCGGTCTGTCCGAACCGCGGTCCATCATATAATTACAAACCTTAAGCCACCGCCACATCACTCAGAAGCTTCAGAAATACGCCATTTAGAAAAAGATCCGAATATTAAAGGGCCAGGCAAGAATACCTCTATTTCAAAAATCTAAAGCCGTCGTTGTAGCAGAAACCGAGCGGCAGAAACATTCGAAAGAATCGGAGAAGTCTTTCGCCGAGAAGAGTAAGAGACTGAGGGAAGTAAGAGCGGAGAAGATGATGGATAGGCTGAGATTTCGTGGGGGGTCGGCGGCTAAGGAAAGGGAGGTATCGACGAGATCCGACAACGCGAGCCCTAGTAGTAATCTCGGCACTGAATCGGTGGCCGTCGGGCCGGCGAGGCCTCTTCGGCTTGTTTACTGCGATGAGAAGGGAAAGTTCGTGATGGACCCCGAGGCTGTGGCTGCTCTGCAGCTAGTCAAGGGACCCATCGGTGTTGTTTCCGTCTGTGGGCGGGCGCGCCAGGGAAAGAGTTTTATTCTTAATCAGGTACTTTACCCATATTTCACATATTTAAGCGGCTTTTCGCCCGCGTTCCAGGGTTGTTGTTCTTTCTCAGGTTTTAGAAGATTTTTCTTGCCATGGCTGTTTGCTTTATTTGAAACATTGGAGTTGTTTTTGTTTAGGATATTTGAACTGCTCTACTTTATGGTTTTTTTTTATTCTTAGCTGCGAGTGTTTGTTTAGCTTTAGACTTATGGCCTTTTTTTGGGTTAGCAAATGCTGAAGGTAAGGCTCCCTTTGTTGCTTAAAGCTTCACATAAACTTATGGAATCAACTATGGTGAGACATTGGCCCTAGTTGCAAAGCTTAATACCATACATGTTCTATTCTCTAGCAGCAAAATTAGATTGGGAACTTAATCACTTGACATAAAAAAAAGTGTACAAACATTCCTTCATGCTTTCAATAAGAAGAGGAAAAAGGGAAAGTTTTTAAGTTGAAAAACATTCTTTATGGTCTGAAACAATACCCAGAAGTATAGTTCACTAGGTTCACTTCTACATTGAATGTGTTGGGATACAAATAAGAAAAAGTTGATCACATGATGTTTGTAAAATTCAGAGAGAGGAGGAAGAGTATATGATGTTGTGATTATTGGTGATAATGTACGTGAAATACATGAATTAAAAAGTAAGCTGAAGGAGGAATTTAAGGTGAAAGATCTTATAGCACTTTAGTTGTTCCTTGGAATGGAGGTTGCTCTTAGTAAAAAATGGTATTTACATTTTGCAACGAAATGACCACCCTCCTGACCTACTTTAGGAGACTTGAAAACCTTGATGCAAACAAATGGGAATCACACTTGAGAATAACTAAAAGTGGAAATATAGCGAGATGACACACTTATGAATAAAGGAAGATATCAACAGCTAGCAGAGACTTATTTATCTTTTATAACTATAACTAACATTGCATATGAAGTATAGTGGGTCTGTTTTATGCATTCTTTCACTCAGAGACACTTGTATGTGTTGGGGATGTGGAAGTAAACCATGCAACGAAACAAATAAGAAAAAATAGAATGCAACATAAAGTAAATGACACTGAGATTTAACGTGGAAAAACTTGAAAACGAAAAAACAAAAAAAACACTTAGTCACACCACACCAATAAATCCACTATGAAAAATTGGAGAAAAAATGTATAGATCTCTCTTCTCTCTTACTCTCTCCTTGCTTCTCTTTTCTTACTCTTCTCTCACACAAAAAACAATAGAGAAAGTCAAGTAAATAATAGCAAGGGACGCCACGCTTAAAAAAATGAGAAAGAAAATTGTCCAAATTGCCTTGAAGCACTGCGTTGCTAATATGTAGCGCTATGACGCTCAAATCTTTGTCATCGGCCCATCTGACAGCGCTGAGGCGCCAAATTTAGAGTGCTTCGGTGCTAAGCTCTATGTTATTTCTCCCATCAAACTTTGCAGGGTGCTCAGGTACACAGAGTTGGGATGTTATACGAAAAAAAAAAATCGGATGCAAAGCTCCCGAACCCAAACAAGGGGAAAACCTGCGCGCGCACCCTCCTAGCTAGTACAACAAATTGAATTGAGGTTCGATGTAATGGTACAATCCGATCGGCTGACACTATCATATTCCACACAACCTAATTGTATGATCTGAATCATATTTTAAAATATCTTAATGGTAGTCTAGGATGGGGTTTAATGCTTCATAAGAATGAAAAAAGAAAAAAAAAAAAGACAGAAGTATATGCAATTGCAGGTTGGCTTGGAAATGAGGATAACAAATGAACCTAAGGATTTTGCGCAAAATTATGATGGAGAAGTAAAAAATCAAACAATGGTGGTTAAGAGTTATGCTAAGGCTGAATTTTGTGTCACAAGTGATTTTTCAATTCATTTGGCTAAAGAGATTGTTGGAAACTTACAAATACAAAGCACATCTTCTATTATAGTTACAGTGACCGTAAATCAACTAGTATCATCATGAACAATTCATTAAAACATGATAGAATGAGCATGTAAGAATTGATCACGGTTTTATCAGGAGGGAAATTGAAGAGGGTGGCATTAATATATGCTATATTCCTACACATTTACAACATTTTTTCCTCACTAAATTTCTAAACAAATCAATTTTTGAAAGCATGTTGAACAAGCTTGGAATGATGAATATTTATTCCATAGCTTGTGGGGGAAGTGTTGGTAGATTTGGACAAAAATTAATCTTGTGTTGCCTTTATTTGTTGCAATTGAATGCATTTAAGGATTTCTGGTTATGAAAGACTACAATTTTCTTTTTATGATGTTTTCACTAAATTGAAACATAATACTATTTTCATTGTATTTATATAGTGTGTTATATAAATTTTGAAGGAAGTAGAAATCAGTAAAGAAATATTTTCTCCAATCTTTTACGTTTAGTTTGAAGTTATATATTTCTTTATTATTTAGATGACAATTATGAAATCTTGGACTGAGAAACCACTAAACACAGCTGCACCACTAAAACTTAAGATTTTGAGCTTGATTAAAGTTTTTTTTTTTTTCTAGATAGCAAAACTTTCTGAAATCCAATTGAAAAACCATTAACAAATTGTTAGTGTGAATATGGTTTGAAAAGAAAATTGATAGAAAGCTGTTCTAAATCGACCCAGTATTTTATTATTGTTGTTTTCTTAATTTCTGTTAATATGTTGTATATTTTTTCTATTCGCACTGGAGGGCATTTAAATTAGTTAAATTTCAATTCCAATATATCTTTTGCTAGTTCTGCTCCCTTGTATTATTAATATCTTGTCTAGTTGCACATCTGTTGTCAACTCTTAGCTCTCTGTTGTGGTAGCAATGTTCAGAGCAGCCTTTTTTTTAATATATCAAACCAATTGTACAAACTCAACCTTAATAATTATCAATTTTTTGTTGTCTTGTATGGCCTTATTCTTTTTATTGCAGATATTGCTAGTAATTTTTATTTTTATTTTTTTAACTTTTGGCATCTTGCACATGTCATTATGCCGCACATATGTTAGTATTTTATTATTCATTTTATCTTATGTTGCATTTGTGGACTTTTGTTAGCTTTTGGGAAGAAGTAGTGGTTTCCAAGTTTCTTCCACTCACCGGCCTTGCACGAAGGGACTTTGGATGTGGAGTGCGCCATTAAAGAGAACAGCCCTTGATGGAACTGAATACAACCTCTTACTTCTGGACAGTGAAGGGATTGATGCCTATGATCAAACGGTTAGCTTGTCCTTTATATGTGTCCCATACAAAATATTTCATTATTATTTTTTTATGGGGTGCATATTTGATGAAACAGTACATATAGCAACGTTGGATCTGAACCAGAATTTGATCATCAATTAATGCATTGTTTTTGTATTTCTGTTCCTAGGATGCCTGGCTTATCTTTTCAATCTACTGAAAGTTTTAGTTTTACTGGAAATTGGAAATATCTTTCTATCATATTTCAATTTTAACCGCATTTATACATTTTATTTATTGTTCTATGGTTTTTGTTGTTACCTCTGCAATTCTAAAATTTACTTGAAAGCATAGAATTAAAATTGTTAAACCCCTACTCATGGATTCAGAATGAACAAGTGGACTAAAATCATAGTCAAACAGCTTGAATACTTCATGAAGTGGATTTTTCTGATTCAGTTTAGTAGTTATTGTTTTTATTGGCATCTGTTGTTGATATGCTTGTTTTGTAATATAATAGTTCAAATAAAAGGTGTGCTTTTGCCAATGTAGGGTAGCAGTACTGATGTCAAGTAGGTTTACCACGGTATTTTAAAAGGTCTATTGTGTTGATTTTATATTTTGACCTATAGGTCAGAATGGTGGCAATCTCAATGTATAATGCTTACTCGCTAATATTAGAGTACAAATATTTATGGTTAAATTAGGCTGAAGAGTTTTGGTTGTACAACACAAGGCTAGTTGAGTGTCTATCATCAACTAACACTTCTCCTCAATGAGGTATGTAGTGTCTGACACGTATTAACAAGACACGCGTTCGACACGCCTCTGATACATATCAGACACACAGAAGATGTGTTCGATTAAAAAAATATTAAAAATAAATTGGACACGTGTATCTGACATACATGTCTTAAATATTTTATGAATTTTTTTTTTAATTTAATTTCTTATATTTCAAAATTTTTATTTATTAAAAAATAAAACTTATTTTTTTAATTTCCTCTTAGCAATCTCAAATCAATTGTCCGCACTCAATACCCATTCCCGAAACATACCAGTTTTATTTCTATATGCAGATCACAGCTAGGGTTTCACAACAAAGTGCGACGCCATCACAACATCGACGTCCGATGCCATCACAACATCAATATTTCAAAACCATCTAAAAATTAAAGTTTGACACTACAATCACGCTCTTGCGTCGTCTTGACATCTCATCTTTGACCAACATCATCTTAACACAGATGATCGACGCTGTGTCGACCTCAACACTTGATGCCGACCGACTCTTGATAGCATTGTCCTCTCCCCTCTCGATGCTTAAAACTCATCGACACCCAACTCTCGACATCCTAATATTAATAATTTTAAACACAAATTCTAGTTAAATGATTTATTATTTCTCAATTATTCTAAATATTGTGCTTACTCAATTTCTATACACTATTTTTAAGATATAAAAATTATAATACCATGTCCAAGATGTGTCCGTGTCTTATATTTTTAATAATTGACGTGTCTCGTGTTTGTGTTGTGTTGTGTTGTGTCGCGTCGTATGCATGTCGTTGTGCCCGTGTTTGTGCATCATAGCTCGGCGTTATTGGCATGTTTGGAAGACTAATTTCATTCTCAACCTTTTGGAAATTTGAGCAATGCATCTCTGAGTTTATTAGATTTTCAAACTACTTGTAGATATTTGTGATGCTCTTTTGCGCTTGAGAAAGCTATGACACTACTGCATGAGATGCCAAGGACAGGATCTCAAAGTAGGAAAAATGGAGAATTAAAATTATATGATTAAATCTATTTTTTGTATCCCAGAGTTGGTATTCATTTTGCTATTGCATGAAAACAAAAATGCCGCCAAAATTTTATTCTACAGGGGGCTTGTGCAGGTTTAGTTAATCTGCTGTTGATTATAATATTACTCTAGCGTGCTTGTAATTACTAGACTCTTTAAGTTGAATAATTCTAATAATTATTGATCTGAACTGAATGTTTTTTTATCTTACTGAAGCTCTTGGGCAAGCCTTCATGTGTATTTACATAGCAATTGCTGTGCAGTAAGCTTATAGCATATTGGGGGAATGTTTAATACAGTTACTGGCTTGATCTTCCCTTATTAGAAGAAAGTACTGGAGCCATTATTTATGCTTAACTCACTTTTGTTTTGTGTATTTAATTGCAGGGGACTTACAGCATCCAGATTTTTTCCCTGGCTGTCCTTTTGTCAAGCATGTTTATATACAATCAGGTAGGAATTTCTTGTTTTCTCTAATTTGTCGGATGAGATGGATTTTGTGTCCATGCTATCCTATAATAATACAAAATATTACTGCCTGAACAAATGTTGGTTCAGATGTAAAAATTCGAGTTTTTGGCTGGTCAAAACATTTTATAGTAAATTTAGTAAAAAGATGTCTTGACAAATTAGTAGCTGCTGGGGTTGAAGTCTTAGATTTGCTATAATAATGTATTATCGTTAAATGCTTACCAACAAACTCATTAATTGCTCACATCTACACTGCTATCTCCACTAGATGGGTGGTATTGATGAGGCTGCACTTGATCGCTTATCCTTGGTCACTCAAATGACTAAACATATTCGTGTTCGAGCCTCTGGTGGTAGGACTACGACATCTGAACTTGGACAATTCTCTCCAGTCTTCATTTGGCTATTGAGGGTGATGATATATCATTTTTTAATGTGATGCCATACATATCTATTTGGAATTAGCTCACGCATTTTCTTCCTTTGATGTGTAAATTGTGTATCTCTACTTGTCAGGATTTCTACTTGGATTTGGTGGAGGACAACCGAAGAATTACTCCTCGGGATTATTTAGAGCTAGCCTTGAGGCACGTTCAAGGTGTAGGAAAGGACATATCTGCAAAGAATGAGGTAATAAAATTCATTTGCATGTGTACTCAATATATTCTATATTTTGTATACGACTCGGATTGCTGGCTATCATTTATATGATGAAGTGCAAGCTATTTATAGAAGTTCTTATTTTTTGTATTCGCTTTCAAGTGGATTTGCTTATTCTTTATAATCTATTGACAGATTCGGGAGTCAATTCGTGCTCTTTTCCCTGATAGAGATTGCTTTACTCTTGTACGGCCATTGAACAATGAAAGTGATTTGCAGCGTCTGGATCAAATACCTGTATGAACATCATTAATTCTGTTGTTGAAGTATTACCTTCTAACTGTAGTTGTTAACAAGTTAATGATCTCTCTCTCTCTCTCTCTCTCTCTCTCTCAGCTTGACAGATTACGGCCTGAGTTTAGGTCTAGCCTGGATGCTTTGACTGAGTTTGTCTTCGAGAGAACCAGGCCTAAACAAATTGGTGCTACTGTTATGACTGGACCCATTCTTGCTGGCATTACACAGTCATTCTTGGATGCCATCAACAAGGGTGCTGTGCCTACTATATCTTCCTCTTGGCAGGTTTATCTTCTTTTTTTAGATTTGTTATATCATTGTGCATTTGTTAATGCTTTTGCTTTTATTATTACTTTATCAACAACTTTGCACAAATGACATTGTTAGATCATCTTATTTACATAAATCATTCTTATTAAGTTTGGTTTATGATGCATTGAAAGTGGAAAACTACCTATGTTTTGCACAAAATTTTGAAAAATGGGAGTTCTAAGTTAACAAATTTTTTTATTAATCAAACTTTATGATCACATGTTCTTCAGAGTGTTGAGGAGGCAGAATGCCGTCGAGCATATGATTCTGCTACTGAGATCTACAAATCCTCTTTTGACCGAACAAAACCAGCAGAGGAAGTAAGATATATGTGACCATTTATTCATCGTTTCATCTTATTGATGGTATGAATACATTATTCACTTCGATTTGTTTTAGGCAATTTTAAGAGAAGCACATGAAGTTGCTATGCAGAAGGCACTTAGTGCTTTCAATTCTGAAGCTGTGGGGGTTGGCTTAGCGCGATTGAATTATGAAAAGCTTCTTCATAATTTTTTCAAGAAGACATTTGAGGTAACGACTAAGCGATCGTGAGTCATTATTGCCATGTTTTTTTTATGCTGGCTTTCGATTGGTGTGGTTTAGAATTTGATTCAAATTATTATGTTTTGCTCGCTTGATCTATACTTAAGTGGCCTGTTGTGCGATTTAAAGTTGTGTATTTACCTTATATTGTAGCGTATGGCGAGTTTTTATATCAAGCTTTTGATAGCTTATTAGCCGTCAATGCCTTCAATGCTGTATGGAGATCTGAAGTGCTTATAGAAATTGTCATTTTCATGCTTTAATGGAAAGATAATACACCTTGCATTTTGAAAACTTGTGTTTAAGACTACAGCAGCTTGATTTCAAATTAAGTGATCATTAGTGCCTTGAATGGAGAATTAATGGGAGAGGGCCAAGCATGGGGCTGACAGCTTGTAGGGGGAGAGGGGGGTTTAGTGTGGAGTTATAAGCTTCTAAATGCAGCCCACTAAATAAGAAGGAATAATTAAATCCTCTTCAATTTAAAATTAAATTGAATGAGATTTAAAACTTTCCAAATATGGCGGTGACAAATTAGGAAAGATTTTAAAATTCAAAATTCGATTTTCAAAATTGGGGACTTCTCTTTCCTAACTCAAGGGGTGCGGGGGGGGGAAGAATTTGAAACTTGATTTCAAATTAAGTTATCATTAGTGCATTGATTGGAGAATTAATGGGAGAGGGCCAAGCATGGGGCCGAGGGATTGTAGGGGGAGAGGGGGGTTTAGTGTGGAGTTATAAGCTTCTAATTGCAGCACACTAAATAAGGAGGAATAATTAAATCCTCTTCAATTTAAAGTTAAATTGAATGAGATTTAAAACTTTCCAAATATGGCGGTGACAAATTAAGAAAGATTTTGAAATTCAAAATTCGATTTTCAAAATTGGGGACTTCTCTTTTCTAACTCAAGAGTTGTTATTTTGGGAAGGTGTAATGATGCTATTAACCCTCATTAATGGTGGGGGCAAAGAGGGGGCCGGCGGTATGGTGGAGAGGGGGCTTGGGAATTCGGATGGGGAATTGGGAGTAGGCCGGTGGTGGGGGTTTTGGGAAGAATTTGGTTAATGATATCCAAGCAAGCGGTGGCGGCGGAATTTGGGAGGGAGGTGGAGGAAGTGGTGGAGGAAAATGGAGATGGAAGGGCACAAAGATGAACTAAACTAACCACGAGCCGTGGACTCTTCCGACGACTGGTGGGCCTTGCACTTGCTCACCTCGAGCTCACTCTCCCTTCTCTCTAGCTCTCATACAAGAAGAAGAAGCAAAATAAAATTTCAATTCATCAATCATCCTTCAATACATAAGAAATGGCCACTTATATAGGCCTCACAATGACAAAGAAAATAAAAGATGACAATGCCCCTTGGGATACAATAGTGACGAATTATCCATAAGGGAAAAAATGGAAAAAAGGCTAAAAGAAAATAAATAATACATAAAATGCATCAAAAGTAAATATTCTCCATCATGACCATCGATTTTCTGTGTCAAAACCTCTTATCGATGTCCCCATCAATTAGGAATGCAAAAAACTTGAAAATTAAGATCGTTGCGAAATCTACAACATGATAGTCATCAGTTGAATGAAACTGCATGAAAATTTTGGTATGTTTTATGCATTGATTATTTTTCTTTTTTATTTCTTTAATGATTGAATTTTTTTGCCTACATCCCATCAATTACAACCAAATGCAAAAAAGTGATGCAGTGCAAATATTTTGAGTTTAGCAGTTGTAGGAGACTTCGACCACTGAGTACAGGCCCACCCTCAATTTTGTTTTTGTATAATAAACCTGGAAATGCTATTGATTATTAGTGATGGAGAAGTTTTGGGAGATTTCACGGGTTGTTAAGAGTGCTGGTGGTAGATTTAAAGTTTGTGGAATGCTAAGAAAAATATTGACTAGTTTAATGTTTTTAGATAGATTTCTGGCCTAAATTTTATGGTAGTAGAGGAATGAGAGCTCTTTTGTGAAAAAGGATAAAGGCCTCCATGTCAAAGATTTGGGATGTTTGCTATCAAATCGTGGTGATTTTAGGTTAGTTTGATATGTGATTAGGATGTCATAAATTTTTAATAGACTGATCACAACAGATGAACTTGAGTTAGATATATTTATAAAAGGGGTATGGCTCAGTTTTTGTAAGTTTGAAGTGGGTTTCAGGCTTTGGGAAGGTGGTGGGAAAGTTTAAGAAAAAAAAAGGAGATAAAATGATATTTTAGTTTAATCTTAATTGTGGTTGATTTGCAAGTCAACTCAAAAACTGCCAGCTCCAACTCATTATGGACCAAGTTTTTTGCAAATGCTCAAAGCTATTTTTCATTGAATCAATGAAGATATAAATAGAACATAAAATGCTAGAGAAAATGAAAAAAATCCATGAAGAAATAGATCAAGACCCCTCATTGAAAATTTGTATAGAGACTTTAGTGGCAGGTTTGGGTCCAAATTCATTCATAGGTGACACACGATCTTACTAACTAGTTTGGCTAGTTAAAACATGATAATAGGATGGGGTAGAAAACGAGTATTGAGAGCAGATAAGAAGCTAAGTGATCTCTGTGAGCAGTAAAAAATGGCATGAAGTTTTAAATATGCCTTTTGACCACTTATTTATAAGGTTAAGATAGCTACAAGAAATGCTATATTGACACAAATACATTATATGACAAGTACCGATTGGCACAGACACATAGACTGATGTGACTCGGGATGCCCATGATGAGTTCCTTGGCCGAGTCCTTGGAGGCGAGTGTCTTGGGAGACTCCTTAGGAATGAATGCTTTGAGTGAGTTTGTGCTTTGAGTGAGCCATGAGAGGTGAGCCCCTCAATATGAGTGACGAGTAAGCAGTGGGCGAATTATGGTTGGCGGAGCCATAATTGTGAGCTTGGTTGATTTGTGCCTCTTATAGCTAGTAGTGAGAGGCGGGTGGCTTTTGTTAAGGAAAATTGTTGAGAAAGTTGAGTGCTCCTGGGTCGAGTGTCTCAAGGTGAAGGCTTATTGAGATGAGTCCTTTGACCTAACTCATCGGGAATAGCCGTACCCCTAATATGATCCTTTACGGGTGCATTCATATATGACGAGTGTTGACCCATGCACTAAGAAACACAAAAAAGACTGAGACTAGTGATGTGAGCAATGGTCAATGGGTGTGACACGTCACTAAAATGCCCGAATGGTCTCCGATCGTCAAACAGAATGCGCATTGCGATCGAAACGTCAAATTTATCTAAGAGGGAGTCCCTCACAGTTGAATCGGGCAAAGACGATCGAAATCAACGATCTATGCCTGAAAAAGTTGTGTGATGTTGCCCAAACGATGTTCAAACTCAAAACGAACTTCGCTATTGTGTTCGAAACATTCAAATCATTTAAAAATGACTGTAATATTGCCTAATAGATCTTGTGCGGGACAATCGGTACGGATCACGTAGCAAAGATGCATGGATTTTGAGGCCATAGAGCGCAAATCAAGGCAAAATAATTTTTTTTAATGATTATGGCATCTATAATAATAATAATAATAATAAAGAATAAAGTATATGTACCTGCTGATGTTCGGTGCCAACGCTGTCGCATGATTTCTGCATGAACTGTGCGATCCACTCCGCTCTCTTCATTAAAATGAAATAGAACAGCGCCCGTCATCTTTTCTTCTTTCCACACGCACAACCATTGCCTCTGATCCTTTGTCATACCCCAATTCTCCTTGTGTCGATCTCCAATCCCTGTGACACCCAGCTCCTGCCATCCGACTACAATCACTACGTCGAACCCAGTTCCTTCACTGTTCGAAACTCTCACACATGTTGTACCTCACACTTGCAGCAAGCCGTCTGCAATCTTCTGCTTCGATTTCCTCAAGCCGACGCTTGCATCCGACCCCAACCTCTCGGTTCGACACTTCCTCACAGCCGAAACCAGTCACAGCCCGTCGATCCTTTCTTTACTTCTCCACATCTGACCGATCCAGCCGATTAAACCTACGTGTGTCGATGGATCTTGCCAACCTAGATCCTAGCCGTCAATTCCTCTATCAGACGCACAATCCTTCTTTATTTGAACCAATCGATCCCGCTACAACCCATTCGATCCGACGTCCACAACCCTATCCCATGCTGATCACATGAGCTTCAATCCTCCAACAATCTCGTTAGATCTCCACTTCCTATTCTCGAATAGAGCCCAACTCGAGCGGCTTCGCCTCCTCTGCTCACGCAACTTCCAATCCAACAAGACGAACACTTACTCGATCCCTCCTTTGCCCTCTTATTCGACCCATCCACACCTGATCCACCTCATGCCAACCCCGATCTCGCTTCCGCCGATCCAATCGATATATTCCATAGTCGAACACTCACGCTAAGCCAAACTCCAACATACTTGCTATCTAACCTAGTCAAAACTGATCGACTTCCCTCTCAATCGGATCCACGTCCTACTCCCAAATGATTCTACCTCCAGCAGCCTTTAGCCTCTTGCCACTCTACCTCACAACCCAAAACACCCAAAGCCCAAATTAATTCACTCAAGACACCCTATAACATACCTCTCTCCCCCTTAATAGTATTAATATTATTACTAATAATAATAATAATTATTATTATTATTATTACTATTATTATTATTATTTGAAAAAAGAGAGTTAAAAAAGAGAAAAAGAGATTAAAAAAAAAGAAGAGAAAAAAAAAAAGATTTGTGCCTCAATCCTCGGGCCCTTGACATACACGCTGTCACCTTGATACCGTTGCCGTCATCTCTTGCAAAAGGTATTTAGTTCTCTAAACCTAAAAATCCTTAAATTTTGTTTTCGATGCTCGCGGCACGACGAGCGGACCACCTATGCACGATTTTCTTAGCGTGATGGGAGGGAGTTTGGTGTGATGCTAGCAGTGAGACGGGAGAGTCTTGTGCTCATTTTTCTTAGCGTGGCGAGGTAAAACTTACGTACATGTACGTGCTTTTAGGCTGAAAAAACTTGCA